TAATCCTTCAGTGGTTCCTCAGTGCTTTCAGAATAAAATCTAAAATGTTTTCATTGTCAAATCCAACTAATTCTCCATCCTAATCTCTAGCTACTATCTCTCACTCACTCTCTATTCAAAGCACACAATTAACCTGCCTTGTTCTTTCTTGCCCCTCTGCCTTCACATATAGTCAGATTCAAGACTTCATAGCCAATGCCCCACTTCATTCAGGCTCTAGAAATTCTTATCCAAACTGCACGAGTGTTTGAGTTTCCTGTTTCTACCACAGCGCTTATTTTCTTGTATTGAAATTGTTTGTTTACTTTTTTCTTCATCATTAGACAGTAGATTCCTTGAAAGGAGATGAATATTTTATTCATCTTGGGATAATCTGTAATTAGTACAGTGCCTTGCATAGAGTAGGTATCCAATATATGATGGCAAAATAAATTAATATGCAGTAGAGGGAACACAAATATACAGAAAATAACCATTCAATAAATCTAGGAAAGGGCATAGATCTTGCCTGATCTATATCAAAATTCAGAATAAATGCAGAATCAATAAAGCCCTTTTTCAATAGTTCAAGGGATAATCCATATGTTCTCTATTTTCCTACCCTTTGCTATCTCTAGAACCTCTTTATCATTTTCAAAGCACTTTCCACTTGTTCACAGACATTATGCCATTTAATCATTAATGCCACTACAAGATCATGTGACTCAGCGGGGATTCAATACAACAACCTCAGCATATCCAAATGGTATAGTACGAGGAGCACCAGACTTAGAGAGTCAGACAATCTGAGCTCAAGTTCCTGCTCTGCATTTTAATGATTAGTGTATTATTGGAAAGATCTCCCACTTTGCCACCCTCAGTGAAGGTAAATTGTTACTTTTATACATTATTGTCCTTATTATCCAAGTTGACATTTGGAGGTAGCTAATTGAGCCAGAAAGAACACAGACTTCAGGGCAAGGCAGGCCTGATTTTGACTCCTAGCCACATGGCATGGGTGATCTTGTGCCAACTGCTTAATCTCTGAGCCAGTTTCTCATATATAGAGATGCTAATAATTTCCTATTAGGTTATTATAAAACTTAGATAAGGAATATAAAAATATCTGTAGATTTTTTAAGTGCCATATAAATTGTTATTATTATTCTTTTTTTGGCCAGGTTTAAGAATGGCATGGAAAAACATTTCTCAAAGTGCTTTGTGTGCTGGTGATCACAAGAGTATTTAATAGGGGGTTCTTTAAATAGTTAACTGCACATTAACTTATTAAAAGCTCTGAGAAGTCCAGCTGTAAAAAGATCTCTTTAATTCCGTTTAACCTGTTATTTTCCCAGTGTATTTGAACATGGAATATACTTTAATACTTTGTGGAATACGGAGCATGAGAAGAGAAGAAAAAGCTGTTTTTGGCTAGGTCTCTACCCGACCCCACCACCCCCATGACTCTCATGATAGATATTCAGAAACAAAAACTAAACTAGTAAAAATAGTAAATATTCCCCTACTTTAGCATCTATTGATTTACTGTTTGCAATGTGCATATTTGCTAGAAAACTAAGTATGTGCATACAAACATAGGAGAAATTCATGTAGAATTTTAAGAGTAAATCATAAATTCTAAAGGAAGAAGACATCTAGATATAATTGATGAGTATGAAGACAAAAGGGTGTTCTCATTGGGCATTTGTGATTCTCACTGGCTGAACTACACGCAGTAACTTCTGGAATAATATGAAATGAACAAGAAAGAAAAATCCGTTCTCATTCATTCACAGGCATAGTTCCTTTAAAGACACAATTGCTCTTTTCACATTGTAGCAAAAGTTCACTTCATTATTTCAAATGGCTCTTTCCCACCATCAACTCTTGTGACTTTAAAAGCTGTCATTAATTTCCCATTAGTAAATTTTAATTGAAATGAATGTATCATTTGCTTTCAGCAGTTGCATTTGTAACAAATGTATAAATAAATGCAAATCTTGTCCAAAATGTTTAAGATAGCTATTTCCGAACAAGCAAACACTTTGATGTTATTTCAAAGGATTTTATTTATAGAAAGCTTTTAGAATCTGGCCCTTACCTAAAGTAACTAGAATTTCATGGGGATACAATGCACAGTACCAACCTAGCTAAAATCCATTTTATTGATCTTGGAAAGTAGCATGTTAAAACATGAATAATGACCTCTGAGCTTTGAACTACTCAGTACCCTTGTGTTTCTGCAATATTTATGGACAACACACTGAAAAGAAAAGCTAGAAGAGGCATAGGGATACTCCTAATTTAAGAAATTATAGTGGTTTAGTACAATAATCCGAGATTAATTGCATTTCACCAGCTTATTATCAAAGATGCATCTACCCAACCCCCAAAGTTCTACTCAGGTAGTCTACGCTTAGAGAAGTTGAAATAATTTAGGATGCATCTGAGTGTTAAATTTCATGAACTTTGTGATCCAATTTCAATTTCCTACATTAGGCCTAATTTCCATTTTGTTTTAAAAAAAAAGAAAATGAGGCTGAGTCTCAGATCATGCTCTGCCAAGTTACCCCACTATCCCCCAAATATTTTAACCACAATCCAGGAACAGTTAGATAATACAGATTTACATATTAAATACATTATTCTGAAAATGTAGATAAATATCTGAAAATATTTCCGACAACACTTCAGATGACCATGTGTTAGCAGAATGAACTTTAAAGTCTTTAAGGAAAACATCGTTGACATGCTTAACAAAAAGGAGTCATGTGTGACCCTGTTTCTCCAAGGGTTGGGTCAGTTAATGCAGTTGTCCGACAGCCTGTGGTTTTCCTTCTGCTTTCAGCCTTACTCTTCTATTCCTCCTCCCCCTTGATAGCTTTTTTTGGATGGCTAGTTGCCCTAGTGGCTGTGGTCTCACTGAGATGTGTTTAGGTCCTTTTCTTTCTTATTTATTTTTCTCTTTCTGCATTTTATGACCTGAAATAATAAACATCACTTTTAATTGAGAAAATGTTTGCTGTAGGTCTAATAAATACAATTATAAGTAAAATAACTTCTTCAGTTCACAGAATTTGATATCAGATTTGTCAAAAAGTATCAATCTTTGAGAAACATGGATAGTTCTTCAGTTAATAGAATTGAGAAGTGTTTGCACTATTACATAAATCTAGAAATTTTACAGGTGATTAAAAATATGTGATTTCCAAATACTGCATAAAGTTTGCAGAAGTTAATAAATGGATTCTTAAGCTTCATTTACTGCATTATCAGATTAAAAATGCTAATTATATGCATCCTCGCCACGAAATAATTTCACTAATTAAAACAAGCATTTGAGTTTTTCATCAAACTTGAAAGAGCACCAAGCTGTAAGTTTTCACAATAGTCAAATGTGGGAAATATAGCTATCACATTTAACCGACATTTCAAAAAGTCCTTTGAGCTCAAAATATGGAGGCTTCCAATATTAATTTATCTACAGCATATTATATACCACTTTTCCAGAAAGTACCTTCTTAAAAATAAAAGTTTCGCAATCTGAAATATCACTGTCTAGGCAATGCTTATCCTGTTTTTCAAAGCAATGGTCCCAGGAAAGTTTGCAAAATAATTATACTTGCTCTTCTCAGTGAAAACAGCATTGTGCACCATAAATAAAGTTTTTAGTTCTGTTCTACAAATTTTGAGTTGTTTCCACATGGCATATACTTCAGCATAGTTAATGACTTATAATGTTTTTTATTGCAAAAAATAACTACCAATTAACTTGGAAAGGATGGTGACATAGCAGAACGTAGACCCATATCAGTGCACTTGCTAGGAAGTTTCATTTGCCACATACTTAGTAAGGCATTTTAAACCATAAAAGCTCTAAGATGTTAGCATCTAAATGCTTTGATATAAAGAATTTTTGTAGGTGTAAAATATTGCTTCAAAGCTATTAAAAACATATAAAACTCTGAGAAACACAGTCCTGAGCATACCATTTATTTCATTATATTCCTAAATCTAGGCAATGACTGCTCATTGATGGTCCTTCCATCCAATAAGTTTAGCCTTGTATTCTAGTTTGAAAGTGGAAGTGATATCTGTGTAAAAAGACTTGGTAGATAAGATGACAAGTAGCAAAGCAGTCAATGAAGATGCCAAATACAATTAAAGTGTAAAGATGCACCACCTCTTTTCCACGGGTTCTTAGTTATATGAGAAATAAATATGGAGATATTGAAGGATAATCAGAAAGTGCACCATAAAATGAAGTCTGGGTTCCATAAAGTGTACTTACTCATTTTTGGAGGTAGATATAGATATTCTCCACAAAAGACAACCTCTTTACTTAGAGCACAGTACTTTTCTAGCAGTGATAATTAAAATGTGGGTACTTTTGAGCATCGACTTCTATCTAATCAGAATTAGCAATTTTTCTCAGGGAACAAAAGAAGTCATCCAAATTGCAACATACACCTCGAATTCAACATAATAAAACAAGAGATTTTTAGAAGATGTGACAAGAAGTTTCTCCCATTCACTTAAACAGTATCACTAAAAATGGGAGGGGGAAGGATTGTAGCATATAGAGAGAAGCTAGTGAAGCAGAGTGGGAAAAGAGAAGGAATGAGGAGATCAAAATCATTTTGTTGCCTTTCCCTTGTTTCTCACTTCCCTCCCACCTTGGTTGTGGATCACAAATTTTAAAAATGCAAAACCCAGTTAAAAAAAAAAAAAAAACGGAGGCTGATTCAGATACAAATGTAGAGAGAGAAGGAAGGCTGAGGCCCAGAGCCTCACTCAGGGAGACCCAGTGAGCCAAGAAGAACGTGGAAGCATCTCCATGAAAACGCCCAGGCTCCAGAAGTTTACTGTGGGGTCTTATCTAGGTGGGGCCTTATTTTTTTTTAAGAGTGTGACTAGGGTTACTACCACAGCAACCCTAAACGATTTTCGTGCAAAAGCAAAGCAGTGGGGATGTAGTAGCAGCAGCAAATCTCCCTCTTCCCCCACCCTTGATACGGTACCTCCAGATTTGCCCGAGCTGCAAGATGTGGATGAGTGACTGCAGGAGCCAGATGCAGAAGGAGCAGGAGGCAGACCTGTGTTTGCCGCTGGCCCCAGTGGCCCCGCTGCTGTTGCTGCCACTGTTGGTAGCGGCGATGTTGCTCTTGCTGGCGTTGGATGCCTGCCTTTGCGGCGTGGAAGGGCGAGCCTCGCCTTCTGCGGCTGCAGACCCACTACTAACCATGGTCTTGCACTCGGCTCCAGGCTGCGGGTAGCTGGAGGCGGCGGCAGCTGTGGCGCTGTCCTCGGTGCTGAAATCGTGCACAAACCAGCGGAAGCTGAACACCTGCACCGAGAGCGAGCCGAGCACCACGAAGAAGAGCGTGAGTCCGAACCACCAGCGCTGGCCGCGCAAGTAGTAGTCCACGGCGAGCCAGATGTCCGTGCCCACGTCCGCGAAGTACACGGCCACGGCGGCCAGGATCCAGAGGCAGTCCCACAGCGAGTAGCGCCGCTGTTCCCTGCCCAGGCGCAGGCACAGCGCCACATCTTCTCTCACTATTAAGTATTTCCATCTCCGTAGTGGCAAAAGAAGTCCCAAGACATAAAGCAGAATACCACAGAGTTAATCGCCGCATTCTGCGAACAGCCGCCGCCGTCCGGGCAGCAGCCGCCCCCAGCCGCCTCCTCGTCCTCGGCTCCCGACCCCGACGGCAAGCCCGGAGTCAACCCTTGCACCGAACCCGAGTGGTCCGAGTTCTGCAGCGGGGTGAACGCCACGTCGCTGCTCTTCTTCATTTTCAGCCTTCCGTCTGATTTAGCGGCCATGATGCCTCCAAACTGGAGAGCCCTCCTTTATCTGACACCTTTCCTCGCTGTCTCCTCCTCCCGCCACCTCCTCGCCTCGCCTCGGCTTCCCTCCCTGGCGGCGCGGCTCCCCCTCCTGCTGCTCCTGCGCCGGCTCTCCTGCCGC